AAGACTTCTTTACCAGAAATATTCACCTAATATATGGTCAATTTTTTTGTGACAATGCTTAGTTTTATCAGGATTCTCACTTGAGCTCAAATTTTCATTTCTATTAAATTGTTTAGGGATGAAAATGCTTCAAAGTTCAAATTTAAAAACGATCTTTTCTTTTGGAGATCAGAATTATTTGACATGTCAAGTCACAGCTAAAAATATCACATGTGTCAAACGAACCATCGAGTAGAATGACAATTTTAAGAAACTTCTTTGTTATAATCAGTTATGCGCGGAAAATCTAAAATTATTTATTGAGAATTCAATCATGTTTTACATTATCTAATTGAAATTGGTAATTACGCACAAAATCATTCCAATCTATAATCAGAAGTTTATGGCAAGAAAAGTAAAGACTGATTGACTCTCAAACTTTGAAACATAGTCGACATTAGACGGTTTATTTTAAAAATATCTTTAACCCTTTCTGTCCGGCTACCAGAAGACCGCTAGTAAAAAAAACTTTTCCGGCATATTTATGCTTCTTTTATCGTGGAGATATCAAAAATATGCTCGATGGAACAAAAAAGTTTTTTCTCGCCGAATACCTTGATGTTGCCAAATGGCAACATCCGGCCGTGAGGGGACAAAAATATTGAAAAGGTCAATTGTTTTTCGCCTGTCAATTTTCGATTTCTTGAGGGTTTTTTTTGTAATTCATATCTTCACACGAAAGTACAGTGTGTCTTTTCGTCCGTCTTTTGATAAATAAAGCTGAAATATGCCTAGAATATGCTAAAAATTTGCACAAGGATGCAAAATTAGCCAGTTTTTGCAGAAAAGTTCTAAAATTCAAGGAAATTCTAAACAGTTTCGGAGCATTCTAGCGTATTCCAACACGGAATATTACAGAATGCTTTGAAACTATCCGGAGTTTCCTTGAATTTTAGAGCATTTCTGCGAAAAACTTGGCTAGTATTGCACCATTGTGCAGATTTTTAGCATATTCTAGGCATATTTCAGCTTTGTTTTTTAAAAGGCAGACACAAAGACACCCTGAACTTTAGTGTGAAGATATGAATTTTAAAAAAAACTACAAAATATCGATATCTGATACGCGAAAAAAGCCAACCTTTTCGAAATTTTTGTCCCCTTACGGCCGGATGTTGCCATTTGGCAGCATCCCTACTTTTTATTGTTCAAAATTATGGAAAAATACCAGCTGTCGAGGCAATACATACTAGCTCTATTGAGAAAAGTTAACCACTAGTTGTCTTCACCACAGAATAATCACTTGCATAAAAAAATTGTTTTTACGATTTGGATGCTTTTTTTTGGGGCATCGCGTAGAACCTTATTCATTTTCATCGTGAATGTTTTTTTCACTTCTGAACGCATGAATATGTGCTGAAATGTCTGGACATAATTATCGAATTGTTAAAAAAATAATAAACCATTGCCATAAGTCGATTTTGAGCAAAATACTAACTCAATGTTGCCTTATGGCAACATCCGGACGGAAAGGGTTAAAGAAAAATATAATATTGACAAGTATTAACAAAAGTAATTTCGAATTTATTTCAAAGAAAAATAAACAACTTCTTCAATTAAATGCATTTACAAAAAGAGGTTTCATTCGAAAAAATCAAACTACATAATGGCTATTGAGTTTGATTATTTATACTTTTTCATTTAATCGATCATTTCACTTTTCACAATCAATACATTTTGTTTTACCTTTTATAAAAGTGTCAATATTTTCTCACGAGAATCTAAGAGTTTATTTTTAACTAATCTTCATATCTTTCTTATTGAAAAATAGTGAATCATTATCTTATTATATAAACTTCAACAGATTATTTTCAGCATAACTATTCTTTTATATTAAATCATTTCAAATTTCTAATTATTCATTTCAAATTATGGCCATCGAAAACAAAAATAAAATATACAATTATTTTATGTGAAAGGTTGTGAGTGTGGGTGTTGTTGAGGCGAAGATTCACACCCACATCCTCCAAATATGCAGTATATAGTTAGATAAAAATCAGTCGTGAAACTACAGTAGTATTTTGTCATAGAACTTCGATGTTGAGTCTCTATCCTGACAGGTTCTGAATATAATACGTAATGATGTTAATGGGACTCAAATAAATAGTTTTCTTTGTGAAACTATTTATTGATATTATCAAATTCAGGAAGTCTACCGGATACGTTTCCGGAACTGTGAAAATGTGTCGTGGTGCATTAAGACTAGGGATACACCAATTTTTACCGATTTTCTGTTTTTGAAAACCCAGTTTTGACCAATAACTGCCATTTTTTTCTCTTCTACCTCAGTTAAATTATCTGAATCTAACGGTATAAAAATACTAGTAGCTACTGGTCGATACTGGTTTGATCAGTGTACACACCGAACGTAATTTAGTATGCTTGATACTTTTTTTAAAGTTTTATTATAAATAACTTTGGAAATTTTTAAACAAGTGCATTTCGTGGAACAAAACATTTGCCTACAAAATGAAATGTTTCGCGACTCTGAGTGAATTTTGAAAACTGGTATATTAGAATTGTGCTGCATGTCCCAACAACAGTTTTTAACTGATGTATCCCTAATTAAGACTCTAGGGTGATGTAATATAGTTAGGTTTCGATAATCTACGTTGTCAGCATTAAAAATGCATTGTTTCAACTTGTCCGAAGACTTATTTTTGATCATGTGATCCTATCCCTCAGTCTTTACTGTAATGTACGCACTCATATAAATACATTTCCATGCGTAGTGATAAAAAGACGACTGATCGCTTTCGATTATTCTGACTTCCGTTATCAAACATCGAAAACAGATTCAATTAGAAGTCGGTGAAATCATAGATTGGGGTGTGGGTGTGGGGTGTGGGTGTGGGTGGGTGTAAGTGTGGGTGGATGTGTGTGTGGGTGTGTGGGTGTGGGTGTGGGTGTGGGTGTGGGTGTGGGTGTGGGTGTGGGTGTGGGTGTGGGTGTGGGTGTGGGTGTGGGTGTGGGTGTGGGGTGTGCGTGTGGGTGT